GTTCCTCAGTTGTAAAGCGAAGTGACAGGAATAGACAGTTTCCATAGTCCTTGGCTCTAACCTTCTGTGGCTTCATGACGCAGATGTGGAGCAACATCAAAAAGTCGATACCCTCGGTCCTCCATATCTACGGGTTCCACACCTATGGATTCAACCAAGCACAGAAATACAGTTTTTTAAAAATTACATCGAGGGGAAAAAGGAACCCTTCCATGTTATTGATGGAAATGTAAACCAGTGCAGCCACTATGGAAATCAATATGGAGAGTCCTTAAAAACCTAACACTAGAACTTCCATTTGGTCCAGCTATTCCCCTTCTCAGTTTGTTCCAAAAGAACTAAAGACATCGTATCACTGTTATACATGCGCACCCGTGTTTCCAGCAGCACAATTCGTAATAGTGAACTCTTTGAAACAGATTATATGTACATCAACAGATGACCAGACAAGGAAAATGTACATATCCCCAATGCAGCACCACTCAGCCACGTAGAAGAGGAAGTCTGAATCATTCGCAGGAAAATTGGTGCGCCTTGAGGCCATAATGTTAACTGAAACAAGTCAGAAACAGAAGGTTGAATATTACATGGCTTCTCTTACATGAGAAAGCACAATACAAAGAGCAAAATAAGAGATAGATAATAGGAAGTAGAGATAGATCTTTCCCAAACTGGGAGGGATCCAGAGATGGACAGGGGGAGGAGAGGGAAAAGGGCTGAAAAAATTGAGATGTGTTAGGTACGAGTACCAAGTTCCCACAAGGAATCTGATCATTATGCCTTGCAAATATGCACTACTTAAAAATAAAAAATCCAAAACAAAAAATCGCATCTGTCCTGACCACATACAAACCTTCTTTTTGCAGTTACTCTCTAAACAATGAAGTAGCACTCCATTGTGTTTGGTCTGATAAGGAATCTAGAGATGATTTAGGGTACGGAAGGGTGGTGAATATTATACCTTATTACATACGGAATTTTGGGTGGACATTGGTGGATTTTGTAGATCCTGGGAGACAACTGCCATTTATTTCTAAAACCCTGCTCACTGCTAACCTTGCAGCATGCACATTTGCATAAAGAGATGAACATTGGACCAGAGCAGCTGTCCCGAGTGAGCGCTGCACCAAGGGTCCTGCCTTCAACTCTGGAACCACCAGTTCTGTCCCAGCACTGTTCTACTTGCTAATGGAATATAGCGGACGTTTCAAAGGCTCTAACTTTTAAAAACCTTTGCAAGTGTGTGGGCAGGCACTTCCGGTCTCTGGCCTAACCCGAAGGCCTCTTCCAGCTGTCAAGGGCAAATCTCTGAGACTTCAAAGCAGTTGCTTGCTGAGCTGCTGAGGGCCTTGAGCTGAGTGTGGGCCACCAGGCCATCTTGGAGGTGTGCCCATCATAGGATTTCTTCTGTGACCATTCTGTGTGTCGGGTGTGGAGGAAGGAAAGGAGCGATCTGCCTCCCTAGGAATAGGCTCTAAATTATGCCACACCAGGGCCCTCTGGAGAGTCACTCAATGGCCACAAGTCTCCATTTTCCATCTACAAAATAGGAATCGTAACGGGCAAATTTGGAAAAATGTCCAGAATTGAGCAACAAGTGTCATTTTCCATAGTCCTTAGAAGGATAAACTGAAGTCTCAGCACACTGCGACTCACTGACCACCAGTCAGGTTAGGTTGTGGTCACATAAGACCACACGAACTTATGTGACATCGCGGTCACAGGGCGCAGCTCAGCGTGGCCAGTTCAGTGTCAATCACCTGGCCCGGCCCCGGCCCCGCCCCGCGCCCGAGAAAGAACCGCCCCTCGGCGTGCGCGCTCCCGCCAAGAACGCGCGCGCTCCGGGCGCGGGCCCTGACGCGGACGCCGGCGGGGCCGCGCGAGGTGAGGCTCCCGGAAAGGAGCTGAGCCCCTAGGCAGCCGGTTTCTCGGCACCCCTGCCGTCGCCGCTTCCGCGTCCTCCCGTCCGCTATGGAGCCGCCCCGCGGCCCCCCGCGCCCGGGAGCCCTGGCCCGCACAGCAGGTGAGGCCGCCTTCCCGTGCGGACCAGGGCAGGGAGGCCGACGTCTGCGGGGCGGGCGGGCCCACGGGAGCCCGCGACTGGCCCGAGCGGCTCCGGGTGTGTGCCCCTGCCTGACCCCCGGGCGCCCCCGTACCCGGGCCGCCGCGTGCCCACATCCGGGTACCCCGGCCTCCGTGACAGGTGCTCGCCGCGAGTCAAGTCGGGATAGGACGAACGTGGCGCTCGCCTCCCCGGGCCCCCACGCTGCGTTTTCCTCACTCGCACGTAGCGGGAGTGGAACCTGGCCAGGCAGAAGGACGCTGGCCCCAGCGCTCCCGCGCCCCACCTGCCCTTGGAGACGGTGACGTTTACGTGTATAGCATCATTTTTGCTTTGCTCTGCTTTTGGCAAGTTTCTGATCGTATGTCACCGTGGAAAACGGAGCTAATTGGGTGATAACGTAATTTTGCACGGAAGTGTTCCTCAGCTGGAGTATTGCATGCACTGCTTGTGCAGGAATGATCCTTGCATTCTCTAGCGTACGCCCCAGAACCCTCAGATTTCCCCAGGGCCCAGTTAGATGAATACAGGTGCAGAGCATTTTCGGAGAGATAAAAGAGATCGTTTATATTTTGGGGAGTTTGCGTGCTAGAAGGCAAACTAGAGGTTCCTAAAGAATCCATAAGTGTAAATTCAGATCACACCTAAACTGCACGGTGCAGTTCTCATTATGTATGTGTAATGAAAATACCTAGTTATCCAGCCTTGGAAAGGCCCACAGAATCACATCTTTTGTGTTATCTTCTGTGTGGTGTTTTCTTGTCTTTGTGTCCGATTTGTTAATTCTGCCTGACACGCTCAGAGTTTGAAAGGGAACTCTGATTTGTACAAGCAGTTTAACTTCTTTGTTTACCTTGACTTGGATTTATCACCTGTGTTCCTTGCGTACTCCATTACTTCTGTTCCGCTAGTTTTCACAGGAAGTACATGATTTGGGTCCTGAGAGTATAGGTCCCCTACGGAAGAGGCACAAAGGAAAGTTGGTCTAAGGATGGTTTTTATTCTCCACATATTTGTTCAACATGTTTATTTAACATAGGATGGGCATGAATAAGGAAGATTTAAAGTGTAGGTGAGTATTAGGAATTGTTGACAAGTTAAATCTTGACAGCAATACTGCCCTGTGACTTTGAAAGAAGTGCAATATTGAGGGCAGGGTAGAAGGAAGCCTGTGTTCATCTAACCCACAGTGGGAGGGAAGAAACCCACCTCTCAGAGCAGAGATCTTTTAGGAGCAGAGGAGAGGACAGACTGGTGGACATAGTTGGTGGATGGAGGGTACAGCTGCCCCATGGAGCTGTTGGTGATGATCCATAGGCTTCCAGAATGTTCCTAGGCTGGTCATATTTTGAAGACAATGTCTTACAAAGTAGTGTTCATAGGGAAGGCACAAGTGACCCAACACAAGGTCTGTCCAGAGGCAGTGATGGAATGTTTCCGGGAAAAATCCTAGAACTTGATAAGGGGTAGAATGGTGTAGTAAAGAGAAATAGGAATCAAAGCTGAGAACCAAGAACCCAAACAAGGTGGTTATTGTTTGTGACAAAAGATCATAGCTCCAATTGGGATGTTGAACTTGAGGAAAGTCACTTTTGGATGTTGAACTTGAGGAAAACACTGAGCTGATGCAGGAAATGTGTGACCAGAAAAAAGGCCAAGTCAAGATTTTAACAAATGAATATTGAGAGATAGGTTGAGTAGGTTTGATATAGAACAGTGAAACATTTTCATATATTGAAAAATACTGATCATCATTGCAACTGTATGCATTCTTAACATAACGGTACATATTGTTTGACGGATCTTGTACTCTAGCTGAGTCAAGGTGCCACATGGAGGCCTTCACTTAACAGGTTGCACTAAGAGAGAGTTGCTTCTTGTAGCACTGCCAGGTGCTTACAGTTGTTCAGGATCCTCCCACTCCTATCATTCCAGACGTTCAGGTGATTCTTTTCTGAAGCACCCCTCATGTCGTGTTACCTTTTGTAGTTCAGAGGTCCAGCTCTCCCAGTCTCACCTTTTTGTAACTTTGCCTGTTTCTTATTTGCTCTTAGTTCAAGAGATTTAACAATACTTATTTCGTTGAATCCTGCATTTTTTTTTTTTTTTTGCCAGAGGAGCCATTTCCTGTTGCAGGTGATTTGTCCTTAGGATTGTTGCTAAGAGACAAAAAGATGTTGGCCCGTAATCCTTGGGCTTTGTGCCCCTACAGGCTGCCAGCTAAGGTGGCAACAGCTGAAGCCATGAGGGTCCCTGTGTCTCCTTGGTGACAGGTCTGATGCAGTTTTAAAACATGGCAACTTCATGTAATACAGTGTTAACTTAGAATTTGACTCCTTCAGCTGTGGTAGCAAGATTCTTAGCTTTGAGGACAGTGGAGTCTGCATTGTAAGGTCGTGTTTCCATATGGCTGACTGCTGGGCCATACAGTTGGTTGTACTTTTCTCCTGAATAAAAGTAAATACTTCAGTAATGTATAAATTGTCCCTTATAGGTATTGTTCTTTATTAACACAGAATTTTAAACTATTCTTTTAGTCGCAGTCCTCCCATAACAAAAAAAAAATGAACAAACAAAAGGCCTACAACAAACACCAGATGAAACAAAGTTTTCTAAGTAGGCTATGATCATTCTTAGAGTGTATCTTTGAATTATATTCTCCTTTCTCAGTCCCATCCATTCTGTTATGGTAGAGATCTAAGATGTCCCCAAAAAGGCTCAGAATGTTAAAGGCGCGGTTCCTGGTTAATGGGCTTTGGGGAAGCCATTAGATCATGAGCCTTGAGGGATTTATAACGTGATGGCGTCGCTGGGAGGTGATGTGAACTTGAAGGCTGGGACCTGATTAGATGAAGCTGGCCCTGGAAGGTGTAACTGAAGACTGTCTCGTCCCTGGCCCTGTCCTCTCTGGTTCTTTCCCTCTGCTTTTGGGCTGTGGTGAGGTCAGCAGCCGCCCACTATGATGGTGGGCGTCGCGGGCCCAGAAACAGGAGAGCCAGGCGGCCATGGGCTGAACCTCTGGGACTGCGAGGCTGACCAGCCTTTCCTTCCGTACGTTCTTATTCAAAGATATTTTATCACATTATTGAAAAGCTAACGGGCTCTCACCGCCAGGACTTCTTTCCTGTTAATGAACCTTTTTGTGTTCTCTGAGATCTTAGAGCAAGAATTCATTTGATTTAACTTTTCTTTTCCTTCTCTCCTGCTGCTAGTACTCTTTCTGTACCAACCTTGTGAGCGCCTTGAAACTTAGAGTTGGCTCTGTCACTCCTGCCTGTGTCACCTTCCTGGTGGTGATCCTTGGATCATTAAAGGACCAGTTTGCCTGCAATGGGGGACTTAAGCTGTTACTGACACTTTCTTTTCTTTGCGTGTCATTCACTTGCCACATCATCATCGGTTCTTTCAAATGTTCAGATTGGGATTCCTGGCAGAAGCTTTTAAGCCAAGATGTTATTCAGATAGCTAGAAGAGGATATTGCACTGGAAACTGGTGCCCTCGTCATCCGAAGTAGCTTTTGAGAAGTAGTTCCGTTGTTCTGATGATGAACATACATGCCCTTTGGAAAACAGAGGCGGGCCTAGGTGAGAAGGTAGACGGCACAGGGTGTCACTACTCAGTGAGCACTGTTAACGTTTTTGTTTTCTTTCCTCCTGTTTGTCCCTCGATGCATGATCATATGTTTTCACTTAATACATGGTAGAATTCTTTCCACATCAATAAATATGAATCTGCGTCATCACTTTTAATAATCACATTTTTCCTTGCATAAATAACATTGTCTAATTTTACCCACTCTCCATAAAGGATGTTAGTAATAGAATTTTGTTTTTATACACAGTGCTGTGATGTACATCCTGTACATATTTTTAGTGAAAGTACCCTATTACTTCCTAAGCAGGAATTTCTGGAATTGGGGTAGGGGCAGCAGGGGGAGCATGTTTAAAATGTCCACTTGTATTATACCAGTGCCTCCAGAAATTTAGATTCTCGTAACAATACTTGATGACCCCTCCATGCTAAAATATCATTAGGCTTTGAATCTTAGCCAATCTGATAACTTTCAAGTCTTGTTTTTATTCTGTTTTTCTGAATACCAAGGAAGTTTTATTTTGTCAGCCATTTTTATTTCTTGTTAATCTACAATTATGCTTGCCTATTTTTTGTTCCAGTGTTTCTCTTGTTTTATGAGAATATTTTATATGTAAAGGCCTTTTGTTTTTTGTTATGAATATTAAATACACTTTCTCTTGGGGCCAGCAAGATAGCTCAGCAGACTAAAGCACCTGCTTAAGCAAGCCTAGGCAACCGTAGGGACCGCGGTTCACTCCCTGGCACCACATCCCCTGCCACCCCTGTCTGCAGGGCACGCTGAGCCAACCAGAGTCCAGGCATAGTGGTATACACCTGTAATCTCAGCAGTGGGGAGGCTGAAAACAGGAGGATCACTACGAGTCCAAGCTGCGTAATGAGACCTTATACCAATCAAATAGAATTAAAAAATCTTTCTCAAGTCATGTATTTTTTGCCAGGGTTTTATTGTACATTTTCTTTCACTGATGGTTTAAGGCATTGATGTAACTGTAGGAAGACCTTATCCATCTAAGATTATGTATTTTTCATCTTTCCTTCCTATGGATATTTAATATTTAAATCTTTTAAGATGTTGGAATTCTAGTGAAAGATATGATTTTGTAATTTCACCATATTGAAACACTAAGAGATAGCAATTTTATAAAAGACATTCAAATTCATTAACTATTAGGTAATTGGTACTTTTTTACTTTTTGTTTAAAGTTAAATCCCAGATATTTTTTGTTTGCCTTGTATGTGGGGCCCATGACACAATATGGGTACTATATTAGAATTCAAACTTAAGTGATTTGGCCCCCAGTAGGTATTATTAATACTTTTTACTGTGTATATTGTTGTGTGTCCATTTTTTATCCTCTCTACTTAGTTAGAAATTCTTTTTTTTTCTTTTTTGTTTTTAGTTAGAAATTCTTAAGGGCTTTATTTATTTATTTATTTATTGTGGGAGGGTTACTGCTAGTGAGTGAAGCCTAGGGCCTTACCACTGAGCTATAGCCCCAGCCCTTTTTGTTTTTTATAAGACAGGGACTCTCTAATTTGCCCAGACTGGGCTTGAACTTCAGCCCTCCCGCCTCAGCCTCCCCGAGTACTAGGATGACAGGAGTGTGCCGCCGCGCCTGGCTCAGACTCCTCCTGTGTACTGCATTTGCAGCCCTGCATGAAGTACAGTGGGCATCACATCACTTGTGCCACAAGGCACTGGTCCCTGGGGAAACAGGAAAGCGACAGGTGGGTCCCACACCTGAGGGGCTTGCCCCAGGGGGTGGTCATGTGATGTGTCGACCCTACACACAGTGCCCACTGCTGTGATATCTGGCTTTGAGCCTTGGAGGGTGCTAGCCCGTGTCCTGGGGACCCAGGAATGCCAGCTAACAGAGCCTGGAGGGGGTGTTCCGTGAGCTTTTCAGGGATCAGGTGCTTAGTTTGGCCAGCTTAGGGTATATGCAAAGGTCTTGCAGGAGGAACAGGGACTTGCTCAGCCCTCCCTAGCACTTGCTGTGTTGCTGTCCATCACCTGCATCTGCACTGGCCTGTGGAGAGACTGCATACAGGCACTGAGTGAGTGAAATGAGGCCAGTGCCCCCTGAGAAGCCAAGGGTTAACTTCATCTAAGACTTTGAAAGGGCGCACATGATAGGCACGCGGCTTCTGTTGCATCCTGAGGAGTTAGTCCTTTCACCCGCAGTGCAGTGAGAGGGAACGGTTGGAGGCAGAGAGTTCCTCCATGTCCCGGGAAGATCACTGTAGAGGCTCTTGACCTGTAGGGCCCCAAACTCCCATCCTAGAAAAGAGCCTAGGGTCTGCGAGGGTAGGAATGTGGCCCCCACAGAATCGGGTTCTGGAGGGGGAGACACATGGACAGACATGCGGACACAGGGTGTTAGAGGACAAGGACAAGTGCGGGGCACTCACACTTAGACCCCAGCTCTGCCTTTTATTAGCTGTGTGGCCTTAGACAAGTGACTGAGCCCCTCAGCTTCATCTGTAAGGTGGCTTGATAATAGCGCCTACCTCCTAGGTCATTAGGACTAAATTCATTTCTGTAAAACATTTCGACACGCCCTAGCTCATATAAGCACGTAGCTATCTGATTTGACAAATGCTGGGAGGAAAGGTAAATGGTAGGAGGGAACATCTACTATTGTTCATTCTGAAAAAGTGACATTTGAGTAAGGACCTGAAGGTGAGAAATCAGCCCAGCAGATCACTTTTAAGCAGAGGAACCGGAAGGTCAGAGACCAGCGTGCCTGACATAAGGGACACCAGTGTGGCTGGAACGTTGCCAATAGCATTGAGTAGATGACAAGGTCAGCAGAAGAGATGGCCAGAGACTCAGCAGTGGGAATAGAGCCTCTTTGTGTCAGTAGGGGGAGCCACTGGAGAACCTTGATGCAGGAGTAATGGGATCACAGTCCTGTGGGGGAGGCGACCTCAGGGGAAGAATCTGAGGGCAGCCTCTGAGCACCCGTGGGGAGACTACAGAGAGAGGATAGCAGAGCCCGGTCAGCCTTGGGAAGGGTGGGAAAGAAGAAGGCCGGCTTTGAAGTGAGCTGAAGCTAAAGAAATGACAGCAGTGGCTAAGAAACTGGATTTGGAAGATGACATGGAGGCCGAGACCTGGTGTGGCTTTCTTGATTTGAGCAGCTCGAGGATGGGACCGCCAAGGGAAGGGCAGGTTGAGAGAAGAGAGGGCAGAATTGCGGAGTAGAAATGGGTTCCATTGCCTGTGCAAGCTTCAGGTGGAGATATCTCTAAGAGCTTGAAAGCACAGCTGAGGAGAGAAAGTGAGTGGCGAAAGGTTTGCATTACCTGATAAATGCAGTTGTGATGAGGCTGGGCAGGAGCAGGGTAAAAGTAGAAAGAGAGTGGAATCCAGACAGAACCCTGGAGGACGCAGGAGCAGACATCCAGCACAGGCCAAAAGGCTCCGGAGCAGGAATCAAGAGCCAAGAGCAAGCCACAGGAGACCAAGGACTGGAGAGGCAAAGAGGTCAAGCAATGTCCTGAATAAGAAATGGGACTCAGACACGTCCTGTGCACCAGCAGCTCCCTGGACGGAGGCCCCTGGTCTCTGTGATGTGTGGGTGAAAGGGAGAGAGGTCCGGGGACACAGCACCCTGCAGAGTGCTTTGTGTAGAAAGTGAAGTCTGATACACACCTCCCGAGTGGGACCTGTTCCTTCGTCATCCTGCCTAACTCACCTCCCTGCAGTTTCCTTATGAGAGAGTCATGAGCTACTTCAAGCCTATGTGATGTGTCCACATTTGGGGGCCACAGGGATGCCTAGGGCGTACCAACTCGGTACCAGACTCTCAATTTAGGCCTCCATTTACAGCAGCATAAAAGCAACTTAGAAATACAGTGCTCAGAAGAAGCCCAGCAAATTCAGCACAGAGGTATCTGGCTGTCCGATCATGGATGGGCGCTTGTAAGCACACACTTGGCAGAGAACAGAGACTTAGTTTTGACTGCGCTATCTTTGATTTTTCTCAGTTCCCGGAACAAGAGGATGGTGACTCCAGAAGGGCCCCAGCACTGTTGCTGTCACTGTGTGTGACGAGTACTAACCCCCACAACGCTGCCTGGTCTCTGGCTTTTTTGCAGTATGGGGAGGTGAGTGGTGGGCCTGATCCCTGGCACTGTGATACATGAGATTTTAATGAGAAAGGTAGCTCCCTGGGAAGGAGAAAAAAATCTCAAGAGAAGAGTCTGGGACTGGGACACTGCTGCACCTCTCGTGCACAGCTGGCATCTCCTGGGGCGCAGTGGAGCATCTGTCCCAGAGAGCACGTGCTAAGGCCCAGTTGGCGGGGAGAGCAGGTAAGGCCTGCGCTGTGCTCCACGGGGGGTTACATTCAGTACAGGAGACGTGATGTCACTTCTGAGGGGTGGGGTGGGGTGGCATGCAGTGGGCCTGAACCTCCACAGAGACCAGAAACGGCCAGTGGCAAGTCTCACTGGGTTAGCAGGCTAGCTCCCCCTTCACTGAGCAGATTTGGTTTAATAAAGCCTAGGAAAAGTTTTAGAATGGGCATCTCATTCCTGACATAAACTCAGAAACAGAGTTTCCTACTGATACGAGACAATGTCCCAAAGGAGTTTTCCATAACACAGGGTATCACAGAACTCCTTATTGGCCTTGTTATGGAGACATTGCTGAGGTTAAAGATACTGTTTTCTCCCATTGCTCAGTCAGCTGAGGGAGATTTGCTTGGTTAAAGCCTGAAAACTTGCTTCTCCGAGGCTGTAGTCCCCGTTTTGCTCCCCTCGTGACTAGCTCACAGGGCGTACCTCTGCATCTTTTGTTTCACTTTGCTTCCAGCATCCTTAAACTGGACTTCATTGTTGACATAGATTTATCTGACTGACTTTATTCTCATAAGCTATTTCTAATTCTTTTTGGAACAAAACAGGGTGAAATAGCAGTGTACATAATACTCGAGAGAACGGAGGACATTCAGGAGTCTCCCAACCTAGGGCCTAATTCCTGTTCCTATCATTTTATATTAATGTTCCCTGAAGCAGAGTAGCCACGTGGAATGTGCTGTTACTCAGACAGCCAGGGCAGAGAAGCAGGCTGAAGCCACACGTCTGCTGTGGAATCTGCTCAGGTGAGGAGATGTTGCTTAAAAATCTGTTCTTTGCTCTTTCAGGATTGGCATCTCCTGTCTCTTTCCTGCTTCTTGGCATTTTAGCATCTCTCCAGTGAGCTGTCCTCGAATTCTGAATACCAACGTACGCCAAATTATTGTCATTAGCATCTTGGCTGCTGCTGTCTCACTGTTATACTTCTCTGTTGTCATAATCCGGAATAAGTATGGGCGACTATCCAAAGACAAGAAGTTTCAAAGGTAAGAGGTAACCACATTTGTTTCAAGACAGGATGCCGTACCTTGTGGCTCAGTTTTTGTGGCTGCCTTAACAGAGTACTACAGACAGTGGCTTATAAACAACAGAAACGTGTTTCTCACAATTCAGAGGCAGCAGCTTTGTGTCTGGTGAGGGCCTGTTTCCTGGATCATAGCTGGGACCTGGCTCCCTCCTGTCGTCCCCTGGTGTGGCAGAAAGGGGCAGGGGAGCTCCCGGGCTCTCCTCAAGATCACTCCCTCCCAGATGATAACATCACAGTGATGGCTTGATTTTCCACAAGTGGGAGCTCGGGTGTTCAGACATGGCTTCAGGAATCTGATTCCGTACCAGCACGTGGCGGAAAGCCCACCTGAAAGAGGCCCTTGGGTAATCGCCCAGATGGAAGCAGCGCCTCTGTGGTGTTTTAAGCTGGGTTTTGAGTAAACTTATAGTTTGGAGAGTTTGCTTTTTGGAGCCTGGGTAAACTTCAGCGCAGGTGCAGCGCATGTGGGCTCGACTTGGAAGGTATGCGTCGCCATCGCCTGTTTGTCTCTTTTCCCTACTCCAGCCATGGTGGCGATGCTGGGGGATGCTCCCTCAAAGCTTACAAGTCCCGGTTGGTGTTTGTATGCAGCAGTTTCTCTGCCATTTATGGGTGGAATGACATTTCTGAGTAAATGCTGCTAAGTAAAGCACATGTTTTGCTACCCCAGGTACTTGGCCCGAGTCACGGACATTGAAGCCACGGACACCAACAACCCCAGTGTGAACTATGGTATTGTGGTGGACTGCGGGAGCAGCGGGTCTCGGGTCTTTGTCTATTGTTGGCCGCAGCACAATGGCAACCCTCGCGATCTGCTGGATATCAGGCAAATGAGGGATAAAAACCGAAAGCCAGTGGTGATGAAAATAAAGCCAGGTACACGAAGCAGCCGCGGCTGACCCGTGACTCACGCGCCCGGAGTCCTTCACTCCTCCCCTCCCTTGGCACGGTCCTAAGCCCTTCCGCGCTTGCAGCAGGACCTCCAGGTCTCCTGGTGTCACTTTGCTCTGCCTTTTCTGTCCTTCCTCACAGGCTGGCCAGCCCCCCCCCCCCCCGCAAGCCCCCGGAGGCCACGCCTTTTTGTCCTCTGCAGCCACCCGCAGCTTTGCTAGTTGGTGTTCGTTGTGGATAGGTTTTTCCTATGTGGTAACCATTTTTCCCTATCCCTGATGACAAGGCACTTTCAGATAACTCACAGAAATCTGTACTTTTAATACATTGCTGTCCATTTGTGGTTTCTGCACATTGCCTTAAGGTGTTTCTAATCATCTAGATTGCTTAATAAGGGTGACCATAGAACTTAAAAGAACAAATATAATGATGTCTCAATTTTAAAAATGATAACATTTCTACACCAGTGTGACATGTAAAATTGAGGCTTGGCTCCCTTTAGATACTCTCGTGGCACTCGCCCACGTGGTGTTACCATGTCCACGGGTGGCGGCTCTGTCCAGAGCATTAGGAATAGAGACATCCTCAATACTGGACATGACCTTGTCTTAAGGGTTGATAGCCACTAACCTTAACTAGTGAGCTGTAGAGCTTAATACAGATGCAAAAGCGTTATCTTACTGATGAAGTAACTGGTGAAACATTCTATCCAAAGTGTCACCAGGGATACAGTTCAGTGGAGCAGCACCTGCCTGGCAAGCACAAGGTACTGAGTTTGATTCCCAGTGCCCCCTGAAGAATCCAATCTGAGGAAGTGACCTTTTAACGTATTAGAGAAACACAAAGAAATGATAAATCTTTTGAGGAGACCAAAATGCCAGCTACTCCAATTTGACCATCACATAATGTATACACGTGTCAGATTACCACACAGCACCCCCAAATGTGGACATTTATTACATGTTGAGTAAAACATTTTAAAAAGAATATTGATAAATCTTAATTATCATAGCTTCTTATCCCCCATTTCAAACATATAAGTAATATCAAAGTATATTTCCACAAACAAAGATAAATTTTTCTTTAACACTTTCAAGTTTTTATTTTCCTAGCCCTTAAATTTGTACCATTTAGAAACATTTTCAGGATCAGTGTTTTTTTTTTTTAATATTTATTTATTTTTATTTATTACATTTATTTATTGTGTGTGTGTGTGTGTGTAGCCAGCTCAGCCCACCAGGGGGCGGGGCTGGCTGGCATGTAGTGCTGGAGGATTGAACCGCGGTCCCTGTGCTTTGCCAAGCTTGTTTCAAGTAGGTGCTTTAGACCACTGAGCCATCTCTCCAGCCCCCAGGATCAGTGTTGATCCAATACAAACTCACCACAAGCCTAATAAAACTCCATAGAGCACCTTGCATTGCACTTAGGCTTCATACCAGATTCAGTTGGGTATTAAACACCACTTATGGACTAAGGTGAAAGTGTTCACACTGTGGAGTTGTGCTTTTGAAACAAAGGGACACTGTATCATCCCAGAGTGTACACCAGGACCTCAGAAGACCTGCCTGAGTGTGGTTCTCTCTCGCTATACAGAGTGCTTGAGATGGAAGTCAGATTCCTTTTACAGCACTGCTCTGTCCTGGGGACCTTTGTTTGTAGCAAGGCTCTAGAAATCTGCTTAATAGAGTCTAGCTAGGTGGGGGTACTCACTGAAATAACATTGTATGTAGTACAAAAGACTTAAGTGTCTGCTTGGGCAAGTGTGGGTCCCGGGGTTCGGTCTCCAGGACCTCTTGTTGTGCTGGCCCCACACACCTGTCAGCCCAGGGCTGGGGAGGCTGCAAACAGGAGGACCACTATGAGTCTGAGCTGCGTAGTGAGACCCTGTACCAAATACATTAAAAAAAAAAAAAAAGACTCGTTTTTCAGACCATTTTCTACAGATTCCTTTGACAAACCACCTCATCTTTCTGGGCGCAGTCTCTTAATCCGTGAAATAAGGAATTTTTGGACTTCAGAGCCCCGTCATGTGTGCTCTCGGAGGCTCACTGATGGTCTCTCGCTCGTGCCAGTGATGCAGCTGTTTAGAGCCTTCAGGGGTGCACATGGCCCCCTGCGGCGTGCGTGCCGTGTCCACCATCAGTGGTGGCTCATCTGCCCATTCAGCCAACCTTTGCCAGGCACTGTGTTAGGTGCAGGGAACGCACATTCACTGGAACAAGACACGGCGTGTGTCCTTAGGAAACTTCCAGTGGTAGTGAGGCAGGCAGGCAAGTGAGTGATGTTGAAGCGGCATAGTGAGTGTAACCGGCAGGGCTGGGAGTGTGGGGTGCAGGGAGAGCTCCTCTCGGTTGGGGCCAGTGCCGTAGAACAGGGAGTTGAGTTGACATGGAGAAGGTAGCTAGGCAAAAGGACACAAAGAGAGCTCTTCCTGGTGGGGTGCACGGGACCTGTTAGGGTGATGTGCTTGTGCGGGGAAGCTGCCAGCGAATGGGAGGAACTTGGCGGGAGATGAGGGGGCAAGTTTGCGGGCCAGGCTGTGCCGCTCTAGAGTTGAGCTTTGCCTGAAGGGAATGGAGGAGCAAGAAGCTGAAAGGAAGCACCCTTGAGCAGGGAGTTGTTGAGGCTGCTGGGTCGGGTCATTACAGGAGGCCAGCAGAGGGTGGCAGTGGCCAGAGAGGTGAGGAGTGAAGAAAGGGAGAGGAGCCAGAAGCGGGGCTCTGGGAAAACGGAATGCACGTGAGGCCAGAGGTTGGCCCCACAGCAGCAGTAACAAGCAGCAGAGGCAGGGGTGCAGTCAGAGCGTGGGGATGTGTGTTTGGGCGTACGTGTGCAAAGGGCGGTCAGCACATGCAGGGCTGAGGGCTGGTGGCAAGATGTGGAGAGCCCTGGCTTGAAGATGCTGCAGCAGCTCTGCAAGAGCACAAGCTTGCCAAGGAGGGGGCTGTCTTGTGCAGCAGGAAGCAGTTGATGACAGGAGGGGATGCTGGGTGACTGCTCAGTGCCAACCAGTGAGGATGGAAGGATGGGACTGCTAGGGGAGGAGAGAGTAGCTTGACGTTGTGCCAGCCTCTTGCCCTGAAGAAGCCTGCTGCGTTCGCTGGGAGCGCAGCATGCTGACGGGCGTGTCCTGTTTGTCCAGGCATCTCGGAATTCGCTACCTCTCCGGAGAAAGTCAGCGATTACATTTCTCCTCTCCTGAACTTTGCTGCAGAGCACGTGCCACGAGTGAAGCACAAAGAGACACCGCTCTACATCCTCTGCACGGCTGGCATGAGAGTCCTTCCCAAAAGGTGACCCTGCCTGTCTCCCCCATACATACCATCACCATCACCGTCACATATTATCACCATCGTCAGAAACAAGGCAGTCAGGACCCTGTGTTCACATCTTAGCTAGTCCCAGAGCTGTTCCTTAGCCACAAGCCACCCAGTAGCATTTAGTGGACTTGTTTGTAACTATAAATCATAAATGTATCATTTTTTTAAAAAATCTATTTTACTATTTTAAGGAATATATGTAGTCATAGTTTCACGTTAAGGAATCAAATACACACAACTTGTTATTTTGAAAAATCATTCCTAAAAATGTTTGGAATTAATTGCTATAGTTTTAAAATTAGCTATCTTAGCCTAGTATGGTTGCACATACCTGTAACACCAGCTACTCAGGAGGCTAAGACTGGAGTCACAAGTTCAAGGCCAGACGGGACAACTCAGCAAGATCTTATCTCAAGGTAAAATGAAAAAAAGTCGTGAGGTTGGAGCTCAGTGATAGAGTACTTGCTTAGCATGTACAAGGCCTTGGAGTCAATCCTCAGTAATACCACAGAAACCAAAACCTGTTTCATGTAGATTGTTTCAGAGCCACGAGAACTATGTTTTGTCTTTTCAAAATAGAAAAATTGAGGTTGCGCTATTTTGATGTATGATTTTGGGTGCCTTACAGCCAACAGAAAGCCATTCTGGAAGACCTCCTGGCGGACATCCCTGTGCACTTTGATTTTCTGTTTTCGGACTCGCATGCCGAAGTCATTTCAGGGAAACAGGAAGGTTGGTGCATTAGCCTTCAGCTTAACATCAGAGGAGCTGTCCCTTAAGTCCTCCCCAGTGGGCACTGTGTTGAATTATTCTTAATATAAGATTTGGGAAATCAGACCCTTGAAATGCAATTTTTAAATGATTAAATGTGCCTCTTACATGCCTGGCCTTTATTACCCAAATATTTAAGTCATTAAAAAATAACAGAAGCTGGGGAGATAACTCAGCAACATAAACACCTGCCTGGCAACTGCAAGTGAGTTCGATCCCACTACCAAAAAAAATAAATAAATAAACTAACAGAAATAACAGTTCATCTTCCCAGCATTTGAGTTCTGTCTTCAAAAAAGTAACTCTCTTTGAGAATTAACTGGTAGGTCAGTGAAATTCTTTGAAGTATAACTTGGTAGAAAGAAATGAAGAGCTAAAAGTGAAGTCTTTATTTCAAAGTCATCTATCATTTCAGCAAGCACATCCTCTAGAAAGGCCCTGTAGAATGCACAGAGTCTGGGGACCTGCCCTTCAGCCGCTGGCAGAGCAGGGAAAAGCACAGAACCGTCAGTGGTCCTTTCAGGAGCTGGAGGAAGATGAGGGAAACCTTTCATGGAGATTGGAAAGAGGCATTTCCCCGGGGGGCGCCCTCAGCAGAGCAACAGCCGTCTGTGCCTCAGGGGTAGCTGCAAATGGACCACACCAGAGGGGGAGGTGGGCTCGGAGGAGCCGGCAGTGTGCTCCAGGCAGGAGGGAGGACTGAGTGAGTTCAGGACTGTGAGGACGCCGGACGGAGCCTTGGCCTGGGTGACGGCCTGCGAGAAAAGCAGTCGTAGCTTACAGACGGGTCAGTGCTTAAGTGTCAGCCCAAGGGGTTATGCTTTGCTCTGCAGATCAGCCTGGTGGCAGAGGACAGAGGGCTGCCAGGAAGGGGCGGGAGAGGAAGGCATTCAGACACCCAGCACCTCCAACTCTGAAAGGGTGTGAATCAATGTGGCAGCGGAAAAAAGAGTAATAGTTGGGTATAGAAATGATGCAGAAATGGCTCAGATTTGGCAACTGAGTGAACGTGAGGAATAAAAGAAAGACTGGAGGTAGATCCATAAGAGGTAGTTTGAATTTGTAAAGCCTTACAATGGGTAGGTTCAATTTCCTACAAAAATAAGCTACAAAAAGTTTTTTAAATGTGATATTTTGAAACAACCCTGAAATTTCAAAGGAAAATGAGTACCTGAGGAATTATGTTTTCAACCCCTATAAATGACATAAAACTGTAAATAGCAAAATTGAGAGCCAGTCATGGTGGCGAAGGTCAGAAATCCCAGCATTTGGGAGCATCAGGCAAGTGCGTTCGCCTGAGTTTAAGGTCATCCTGGGAGGTATGGTGAGCTCAAGGCCAGCCTAAACTACAAAGCAAGATCCTGTCTCAACAAATCAAAACATAAAAATACTAAAAATTTGAGAGTTCTTAGAAACTACTAGGAAAAAATAATAGAAATATGCTCTTTGGTGATATCTTCAAGGACAGAGATAAAGATAAGGGAGATGTTTGCACAGACTGCATCGGTATTACGTAAATGTTTCAAATCTTAATTTTTCTTCTTTTATCCTGTCCAATGTTCATAGGTGTGTATGCTTGGATCGGCATCAATTTTGTCCTTGGACGATTTGAGCATATCGAAGAGGGTAAGTGTCTTGCTCCCAGCCAGTGTACCTAACTGGAGACTGTGGTCAGAGCTGGGCAGGGAGTCAGGTCTTGCTGTGGCTAAGGGTGTGGGGCAGTTCCGAGGGGAGCTGCTGTGCTGCCTCAGCCTTGTCTTGCTGGGCGGGGTAGGCAGGGGCTGCCCACATGTGCTCATACCATGGAAACCAAAGCTACCTCAGGAGAGCCCAGGCCATGGGTTTGTCCCACTCCTACCAGCGTTTCCTGTCTCTGCAGATGACGAGGCTGTCGTGGAAGTGAGCCTTCCAGGCAATGAGAACAGTGAGGCCATCATCCGTAAGAGAACCGCAGGCATCCTCGACATGGGAGGCGTGTCCACTCAGATAGCGTACGAAGTCCCCGAAACTGTAAGCTTTGCCTCCTCACAGCAGGTTACTATCTGTACAAATTGCCTTCTGTTGGTTTGGTTTTCATTTAACATGTCTCCATCCATTTTTGTTTTGTTTCCTGAGTCTGACACATCTTTACTGTGCTTGCTGAGGTACCGCCTTCTCAACCCAGGAGGAAGAAGGCAGGAGGACGAGGCAGACCTCTGCCAAGCCTCAAGACGGCCTTGTGCCTTGAGACCAGCTGGTTTGTTTTCGGGACTTAGTTTTTCTTTGGTGTATCTTGTCAGTTGCATGCTTGAGTTTCTGCTTACATTATCATCACTTCTTTCCTCAACAAGGTTTTTAAAAGTTAATACGATAGCATCATATGTTGTAAGTTGTCACTGGGGAAAAATCCTTTTTTTGTATTTTTTCCATGTCTCAGTCAGCTTCAGACTTTTCTGGAAAGGATCGAGGTTGGTGTCCACTGAACCCAGGGCTCGCTCTGTCTTTTCTCCACCCATGGCTTCAGCTCTATCTTGGGCTGTGGTCCTCAGTAGGCGGGACATCCTGCCACGCTCTGCATCTCTGTGACTCTGGCTCTGTCCAGCCAGCTATTACCACTGGAGCCCGCTCTCCTGCGTGCTCCCCAAGAGGCAGGCGCAGTGTGGGGCTCACAGCTGTGGGCCGCCATGAGCCTGGAGGGCATCTCCGTCCTGTCTCTCATCACACCTGCTAAAGCCATTTTCTTCCTGAAATAGGCATGAAAGCCGTTACGCAGAGGTCGTTAGAGCCTAAGAGATGGTGCGTGTAGCGCCTAAGTGCGCTACGACCAGGCACCTAGTGTTGCTCAGTAGATGCCACGGGTGTCTTTATTAAGCTCTTTGGAAAACTGCTTCGTAAATTCAGGCATTAGCATATGTGTTTCCTATTTTCCATTCCAGACATAACTGTATAAACTATTATATTCTTTTAAAATCATGTTTTTCCTCCTTAATTTAAGTAAGGAAAGAAATGAATTTTAGGGAAAAACTGAAAAGCAGCAGTTAAAATTTCCCATAGGTACCTCATTCAGAAAAATTATAAGTATTTTGATAAATTTCTTTTCATTCATTTTTTCCTTATTTTTTAAGTGCAGTTACAATTTTACTCTTTGTATGATTTTTTTGTGTGTCCTTTACTTAACATTGCACAAGTGTGTTTCTCTGTGAACCACCAGCTACTATAATTAACTTTCCCTTGTTGCCATACATTCTAGGGACATGTTGTTGGTGGTTTTTTTAATCATAGAATTGCAAATATCACTTTTGTGTGTAGAGTAGTTTTTGTATTTAGGTTTATTTTTGCTGCTTAGAATTTCATACATTTACATGGTTAGGGGTTATGTACTGTTTTGCTGACTTCTTTCTTAGAAACTTATAATGATAGTACCAATCTGAAATTTCCCAAATCAGAATCATCATATTGAATTATAAAGAATACTTGAGGGGGCCTGCCCCGTAGCTCAGTTCTTTAAGTGGCTGCTTCAACAAAGCAGTCAGGCTCAGGTTGCTGTGGTTTGATCCCCACAACTCAAGCCAGCCAAACCTGCCCTGAGGTCATTCGGCAACAAAAAAAAAAAAAAAAAAAGAATACTTGAGCCAGGCATGGTGGCACAGTCCTGGAATCCGCTAGCACTCAGGAGTCTGAGGCAGGAGGATTGCAGCAAGTTCAAGGCCAGCTTGGGCTGCATGGAGTTCAAGGCCACATAGTGAGACCCTATCTCTAAAAACAGGATACTCGGAAGGATCCTTGAAATGAGTGGTGTACAAGCAGAAATTTTTGTCACTCTTCAGTGACTTTTTTTGAGCTCTTATATTTAACAGGAGTAAAGTTGCTTTAAAATATTGAAATTTGTTACCCTATGTCTGCAGGAGGAAGTAGCTAAAAACTTGTTAGCTGAATTTAACTTGGGGTGCGACGCCCACCAAACTGAGCACGTGTACCGCGTCTATGTCGCCACATTCCTTGGGTTTGGTGGCAACGCTGCTCGACAGAGATACGAGGACAGACTGTTCGCCAGCGTGCTTCAGAAGGGCAGGTAAGGCGCCTTCCACTGCACAGCAGTCCTTTGCAATCCTGGGTTCCGTGGTACAGGCGCAGACCCAGCAGGGGGTGCAGTTGGCACAGGCACGCTGGCTCTGGGAGCTTGCGGTCAGCTGCAGCTGAGCTGGGAAGAACACAAGGCCACAGGGTCCTGCGTCAGCCCACGGTCCCATCAGGCCCCAAAGGAGTCACTGTCTCTTGTTTTCATTCACACCTGTGCCTCACCTGCTGGAAGAGAATTCCCCCATCAGGCAACAGAGCAGCGGTGAGCCTGGGTGATGTTACAGTGCCAGGCAGCGCTGGGGCGTGGAGGCCTGCAGGGAGCAGTGACCTCTGGGCCGGAAGTCTGAAACAGGCGATGCCTGCTGGCTGTTCAGTAGGTGGGGACTCAGCAAAGGGGCCGCTCAGGAGCAGGGAGTGAGCTGGAAGCGGGAAGGATTTTAAAGCATTTTAGCAGTGAAACTTCGAAAATGAGTGCAAGCTCCTGGTGTGTGAAACAAAGGTAGCACTTTGTCAATTTAAGGATTTTTTAAAAGTCTATAGCAATTATTTATTTGAAATTTATCCATAAGAACAGAAAAGCTTTGTGAATGAATTAAAAAGTCTGAACATGGACTCATGTAAAATATCTTATTATTATATTTTATTTATTTGTTTTGATGAAACAATTTTGAGAAGGAAAAATTCTAACTAGAGCTAACCATTAATATCCATATCCAATTTAATTAAATTTTTAATATCCTTATCCAATTTAACGAATTTGTGACAGCCTGAACTTCAATAAAGATCAAGTTGGAGCTATTCAGTAGCTCAGCTAGAAATTCATGTATATAACTAGGAAAAAGCAGCAAAACTGTCCTGTGAGTACTCCAAAAGTTCATTGAGTGGTATTAATTATGACATTAGTAATTCATTTTGCAATAAGTATCTAGCACATTTTTATACTATTATTTTTATACTACTTTAAAAATAGAAATATTTTATAAGTTATCTTTGAATCATATATTTGTAGACTTCCTGAAGACCTTCTGAGACCTTTATTTTTACTAATTGGTTTTATTACCAGTAAAACTGTCTGTACAGCAGACAGTTCAGTGGTTCTTAATTTAGAGGTAGGACAACTAGCACAGTAGCATGAGGTGTTTGTTGACTACTCTTAACTTTTGTAATTGCATGCATGCTATATATTGTAAATTGCAACGTATGTCTGCCATTGGTAGAGGGGATTGATCTGTAAACATTCGTGGCATAGATCTTTATAGGTCACATTCACATATAAGTAGCCTGACTGGAAGGGCACACAGTTTGTTAGGTGAATGGCGAGGAAAGACGCACTGCCAGCGATTTTAACTGGGATCAGGGGAATCGGGCACTTGGACAGGCTGCTTCTGTGAACTTGGTTCCTGTGCCTGCTGCATGTAACTGTGTGTGGGAGTCTCCAAGGGAGGCTGGGGCCAGTTTTCCTGCCTGAGGTTTCCAAGGCCCCGTTCGCATTCCCACAGACATGCAGGTTCCCCAGAGTGTGTTTGCAGAAGCACTGCCTTGTGGCCGCCTCCCAAACACATGCCAGGACATGGGCCTCCTGATGAATCTGCTCTTTGTGCCGTAGGGTGCTGGGCAAGCAGACTGGTCTGACTGCTGATGCTCCATATCTAGACCCCTGCCTGCCCCTTGACATTAAAGATGAGATCCAGCAAAACGGGCAGACCGTGTACCTGCGGGGGACCGGAGACTTCGACCTCTGCCGAGAGTCCCTACAGCCCTTGATGAATAAAACCAATGAGACACAGACTTCCCTCAACGGGGTCTACCAGCCCCCAATTCACTTCCACAACAGCGAGTTCTATGGCTTTTCTGAATTCTACTATTGCACTGAGGATGTGTTACGCATGGGGGGAGACTACAATGCTGCTAAATTCACTAAAGCTGCAAAGGTAACCTTCCAAGAAGCCAGCTGCCCCCATGTGTTCTAAGAGATGGGGTGCACAGGGGCGGCTCGCAACCTCCCTTCACTCAGAGGAAAAGAAACGTGGAGCGAGGAGGCTGTAGTGCAGCCTAGAGGAATCCTGTTCCTTTGGCCATGAGAGGGAAGCAGTCACAGGAGAATTACCCCACCGTGAGCATAAGCCAGCCTCTGCCCACCACTTGGGAATCTCCACATTTAGTTACAGCCTTGGCTTCTGTGGACCACCTCATGGTCTGTGCAGCTTCGCCCCCGAGCTCTGGTCTCAGCTCCTGGGGTCTCCTGACACACTCCCCCCTACTGAGTGCACCCCCCTATTCTCCATCCTTGTCCTCTCTTCCTGCTTATGGAAGTGTTTCTTTGGGTTCTTTCAAAAGTATCCCTTTTCCACACTCCTTAACACCTTGGTGGCCCCAGATTACAACCCACGACCCCACAAGCCTCTGAGGTCTTGGCAGGCCTTGGCCCTGCCATGATTTACACCACCCCTTAGGAAGAGCCTCTGATGCTCACCTGCCCCAGAGCCCCCACTGATCTCTGGGCTGCAAACCCGCCTTTTCTCTCACTCTGTCCTGATTGTGCATCCTAGCTGGTAGCATCACCAATCTCCAGCCCCCCAAAACCTAGAATTAAAAAGAGTGTTAGCAAGCCTGTACTGATGTCTGATTGGGTGACTTGCTTTCAGGATTACTGTGCAACGAAGTGGTCCATCTTGCGGGATCGCTTTGACCGAGGGCTGTATGCATCCCATGCTGATCTCCATCGGCTTAAGTGAGTAGTGGGCAGCAGACCCCGGGCTTCTGTCATGCGCTGGTAGTCCGCTTACAGCCTGCTGCTCATCCTCCTCATCTGCCCTCTGCTCCTTCTGCGTGGGGCAGAAACTGGTTCCCAGACATAGCCTGTGGTTGGGGCTCAGCTTTGCTGTCCAGCGTCCACGTCCGTGCCTTGGCTCGCTCAAGTCCTCCCCAGACGCCTGAGCAGGAACCCTGGGCCCTTTCCCACTGCCCTGCATCCTTTCAGCCAGATCCCCTTCTTGGCCAAGAGTCCAGAACACACACTATAGCCTTCAGGTACTTTACCCTCTCCTGCGTTGCTTTACAGCTATTTGTTATTTCTCTCCCTTAGTTCCCTCTTATTATTGGTCACCTAAGTGTAGCTACCATTTTGCTTAGCACAGTGCTTTGCACAAAAGAAACCTCTTAGTAAACATTTGGACCATGAAATACCAGAGCTGAAAAGGAGCTTCTTGCCTTCTCATCTTTATAATAGACTAAGATCTAAAGAGGGTGGTACTTGTATAGTGTGCAGTAAAGAAATGATGCAGTATCTGAAGGTGGGGATGAAATCTGTCATGGTAAGGGATCAAATCATACCGGGACCAAGTTTCACAAGCTGTTTGATTTTAGTGGGTGAGCCGTTGTGTGTTGTAGGTTACAGCATGGGTGGGGGCAGTCAGCTTGAAGAGTGTGCAGTTGGCGTGGCTGCCCAGAGCTGGCTTGCGGGAGCCTGCGCAGTCTCTGCTGGTGCCACCTGACATGGGCATCGGTCTGACTCCTGTTCCTTCTTGGTATTTGCAGGTATCAGTGCTTCAAATCTGCCTGGATGTTTGAGGTGTTCCATCGGGGCTTCTCATTTCCCGTCCACTACAGGAGCCTCAAGACTGCCTTGCAGGTGTATGACAAGGAAGTGCAGTGGACCCTGGGGGCCATCCTCTACAGGACCCGCTTTCTGCCCTTGAGGTAGGCCACTCATCTGGGGAGGAGAACCGCACCAGAGGCTTTGTTGCACTTCCACATCCCATGGAAACTACACTGTGCAAGTGTGCAGGGTGTTGCTGTCCCAGCTGCCTATGAAGTCTCCTTCCCCCACAGTGCCTCCTGCTGACCCTTCCTGTCCACCCCATGGGATGGACACTTCTGGGCTGCTGCCCTCTCTGGTTGTACCCTGACCCTGCAAGAGGGTTAACTCAGGTTTTGACATTTATGGGCTTGAACTTCTCAGTGTTTAGTATAACTGCATCGCACTACAGAGGAAACTACTACATTCAAATGCATCCATCAAACTTACAAAAAAAATAAAATTTGTGCTATAAGGATGCATATTTTTATTAAATAGCAAGATCTGGCAACAGAATTAGTAATTTCTACCCACGCCTGTGTCTGTACAATGTCTGCATAATGGTGGGTGCCCGTGATCTTTTGTGGCATCCGCTACAATTGAGCATCTTCAAACAGTGCTCTCGGTTGGAGCAACTATAAAAATTATGTGCCATGTAGATCTCAAACATGGTTCCACCTTGTGTTGATTCTTTCCTTGTTAGATTTTTATGAGCACATTGTAATGCCAGTGACTGCTAGGAACTTAAGAACAAGCTGTCCCACCTAATCTTGTTAATATCTAAGAGCACCTCACCTTGGGCCACACTGAGAGTCAGCAACCAGCTGTCAGCCCTTCTGCAGAGCGAGGCCCCTGCCAGGCCCTCTCCCTGCGTCCTGAGCAGTTTCTGTCCACCACCCTCTTACTCATCCTGTTGGTTTTGTGTCCCCCGTCCCCCCGTCCCCCCGCCCACAGAGACATCCAGCAGGAGGCCTTCCGGGCTAGTCACTCCAACTGGCGGGGTGTGTCCTTTGTCTACAACCACTACCTGTTCTCTGGCTGCTTCCTGGTGGTCCTGCTGTCCATCCTCCTCTATGTGCTACGGCTGCGGCGCTTCCACCAGCGCACACTACGGGGAGTTTCCGCGGCCACACTCTGGATGGAGGAAGGCCTGCCAGCGCAGAAGGGTACTGGCACCTTGTGAGCAGGCGCTGCTCCCAGAAGACTGTCCATGGGAAAAGCCATTTTTGCCTCAGGGTTTCTCCTCTGTATCCTTGGTGGTTTTGTTTTTCCTTTCCCATTTTTGTTCTTTGAAGTGAAATCCTTGCATGTTAGGCCCTGCTGCTTAGAAGTATTGCATTTAGCCATGTTTTACACAGATTTAAACTTGAGGAGCAGAGAAAAGGGGTGCTCACCTGAGTTCTGCTGCATACCTAGATTATAGGCTATCCTCCAAGTTAGTAAGATTTTGGGTCTCCTTTAAGGCATGTTAAATTGTCGGCAGGTGCACCTCGATCATGATGGGAATGGAAAAGATACTTTCTGTTGATGCAGCACCCCCACAGAGCCAAAAAGCAGATAGGACCCTCCGTCTGTCCGTTTGTCTGTCCGTCCGTGTGTCCGTCCTCAGAGCTCCACCTGAAGAGGGTGATGTTGAGTTCTGTGCTCTTTGCAGATGTAAGAATGGCAGATTATTCATGTCTGAACCAGATCCAAATAGGTACCAGGCTATTTTAAAGTTCATAGTTAGGAAAATGAACGGTGTCAACTGCCAACAAGAGCTTGCCATCTGTGCGTGTGTGTGTGTGTGTGTGTGTGTGTGTGTGAGTGAAAGATGCCAAGGCCCAGGAGGAGGGCTGCAGGACTGGTTCCTGTTAATGCAAATTCCCAATGCTATTACCATTCCTCAGCCACGTGTACTTACTTTTTTTTTT